GGAGAAAATTTCAGTTATAAAAAACTTATTCTATTTCCTGACTGACAAATTACAGTGAAAAAAAGTTAAAGCAATTGCTACATGTTCAGCTGAAGCTGCTATTTAGTTTTCTACAATAGCTTTTACTCAGAAACAGGGCTTTTACTTTCATAATAATGTTATTTATATCACACTGCTTTTCACCAAGTGAGCTCTGATTATTTTACAATAGAAAATGTAAGGCAGAGAAGAGGCAAAAAGATTTATCACAGAGCATATAGGTCAGTGAGAACTTCAAAGATAGAATTCAGGTCTTCAGCCTGTGGCCCATTGTCCTACTTACCCCATCACACCACCTCCTCACGTTAATAATAGCTAATACCATGGATTTACAGACTAATTCTCACAGACACTTCTGTAAAATAAGTAGGTATCAACTCCATTTTACAGAGAAGAAAACACAAAATGCTAAATTCTTTAGCACTCTATATACCTTGTGCAATCCCAGCACTACTGTATCAATACCAAACATAAATTCAGATAAAGATACATGCAGCACTTTTAGCACACAACTCTATTCTGAACTACAGAAATCAAGAGACTTGTCTAAAGACAGAGAGCAGGTCTGTAGTGTAATGGGATGGAAATGCATGATTGCTTAGTTCCCATTCGTATGCTTAACTCATCTCTTTATCTATATAACCTCAACTCCTTAAAATTACATGGGACATTGGACCAAGACAGGATCAAGCAAAACACCTTCAGAAAATGTTTCCATTTTTTCATTCCCAGCTTTCTGACATGGAGCTTTATGAAAGCACTTCCAAAACCATTTTTTGGCAATCTATTTCTTTGCATTGGCATATTTAGTTCTCTTTTTGTGTTCAGATTACTCAAGAGTACAGCACTGTACACAGGAGATAGCTCTGACATTATTATTATGGGTTTGAATATTGCTCTGAGTTAGTTATTTTAATTTTCTGAAAGATCTTTAAGGTATATAGCAAAGTGGAAACAGCATTGACTCACAAAAGAATTACATACAAAAAATCTATATAACATCATGAAACATGAAGAATTGGTATTACTATCTGAAAAATTACAATCACACCTGTATTTTTTTCCATGCAGGTGTTAAAAAAAAAAGAGAGATAAAGAGCGACAAGGTCTGTAAAATATAAACCCTACTAACCTTGAGTAACTGAAATTGTGAGTACCTATGTTCTTGGCCACACTGATAAGATATTTAAATTCCTTAGTGCAGCTGTCTGACTCCACAGTGCTACGACAGTTCTTAGTCGTACACCATAATGACAACAGCTACATGACATCAATATTAGCACTGTAATGAAATGATGTAAGCCTCCTCCTAAACATCAACTTCTATGTCTGTAAAAACAAAAGGATTCAAGCATCATGTATTTAGCATGTATAAACATTTTAAAGACGCATGCCACCCAAACAGCAAGTGATTTTCATGAACAGAAGTAAAAACCACCAGCAAGAACAATTAAAGTATTCGGCAGTTCAGACCTACCAAAACAGTATCACTGATAAACTCAAGAAATTTTATGCACAATGCAGGAACAACTAATAAGTAATCATTAAGTCCCTTAACTTGAACAACATGGTCCAGGTGGACCTAGACTGTAACGTGACCCAGCCTGGTTTTAGCACTCCAGGTTCTGCAGCCACAGGGCCCCAGTACGAGCCATCAGGGCAGGCTCTGCTCCAGAGGGAGGGTGCTGCAGGGGTGCTCCCTCCACCTGAACTCCAAGCCACTCTGAACTGACCATCAGATACTGCCACAGGCCTGATGTGGAAACAGAGATGGATCCGAAACGTTGTGAGTTTATCCATCCACCCTGCACCATCTCTGCTTTCACTATGGCCTGCAGTTCCCAGCAATACTGTTCCCACCGCAAACTGCGGTCTCCTCACAGCTGAAACAGTGAGTGTGCACCCCTTATCTTAGCATGGGATCTTACAGATACCTGGGCTCCACAATTTCTTCACCGCACACATTTATCTGGCTGCCTTCATGCTGCATCTGCTCTCAAGAGCGTTCTACTGTTCACATGCCCCTCGTACATCAGCTTGCACACAAAGCCATGCCAATACAGCCATACAACCCACAGGTTCTGAAAACTGCGTATTTTACTGTACTTCTTCCTTCCCTTTGAAACAGGGCTCAACTCCTGTCTGATAAATGCCAATATAAGCACTACATTTTTACATTTATTTGTCTTTGGCAACAAGCAGAACCTGCTTCTCTCCAGTTTTCAAGCATAATCTTCACTTTGCCCTCAGCTACTGTTACCAAGTAGATTTCTGCCATTTTGACTAAAACTAGTTCACTTATTTTCCACAGAGCAAACAGAGGCTGCGCAGTAACTTGCAGTACCTGGTAATGATCACTTCAGTAACAGCACACATAAAATGATAACTTTCAGATATAGTAACCAAGTCTTATCACGTATTATCAATCTCTTCTTCAGAGTTCTGGTCACTGAAGAATATTTCTAAAATCAGTGATAAAGCTGCACAGCAATACCCATCTAAAAAGCATTCAAAGCACAATATACAACATGGAGACTGTGAAATCCCCAACTAAAATGATGTTATTTGTGAGATTTTAAATTATCCAGAATAGCATAACTTAAAACTTGGCTTCTATCAAGAACAAGCATAGCTTTAGGAGATATAAGGGCATGATAGATTTTACCTAAATGGTTTTTTTAAATGCTTATGAAAATGAATAGTTTGCAATATAAGCACAAAAACATAACAAGGGCATATAATATAGAGGAAAAACAATTCCAACTGCTTTTTAATTTGACTGTAACATTTTTTCTAAATGCTTCTAATTAATTTTAAGATACAGAAACTACTTCACTGCTTAATAATCAGACTTGTTCTAGTCTGAAACTTGTTGTTTGAGTACCATGTGCTTTTAACAGATTTCTTCCCTTTCTTTGTTCTTGTGATTCTTTTTTTAATACAAGAGATTCTAGTCTTCCCAAATGGTCACACTATCAGTGCGTAGAACTGTACAAAATGAATTACTGCACGCTCCCTAGAAATAATACAGTAACAGATCACACTGAAATTCTGCAAGTTTCTGGGGACCCTGGGAAATTAAATTTGCATAACTGCTCTAAATGCTTAGGCCCAGCTATATGACAAGCGTATTTGACAAAAATTTAAACTAAATGCTTTATCAGTATAGATTACGGGTAGAATGTTATACTTCAAAACCCAACCTGAGAGATCCTGATGATCATTTAAATACTCTTTCATGCACTCAGGTCTGATCTTATACTGTTCTCACCTGAAGTAATGTTCATGCCTATGCAGTTCTGATGAACATTTAATGCAGGGAGAAGGGGAGGGCTGATTTGCACATTTATTTTTTTTATGTGTGGAAAAATCTGGAAGCAATAACTCATAATAAGATTAGCTCCTATTTTCCCAGACTAGTTACTTTCCACCATTAATAATCCTGCCCCATTTAAACTTCAAAATACCCAAGGTAATTAAGCTGTGTTGTGCTTGCCAATTTAGAGAGGCACTGGGGAGTAATATGCATGTTAATCAGGAACATTAGCTGCCAGACTATATGAATTCTACTTCTCATTACTCAATCTTTATTATTGTTATTTAGAATTGTTTTTCAATTTTGAGAAAAAACTCTACCCCCCTCCAAATAGAGTTTCATCTCTGAGATTACTTACTCTGAGCTATAATACCTATTTGTTTTAGGGATGAGTTGAATCCTTCCATAATTACCAGTTACTAAATAGCTTCTTGCTATCAGGGAACAAATAAAGATGTAGGACATCATAATTTCAATTGCCTAGCAATAACTCTTCTAGCATCATGTTTTGACAAGTGGTTGGAGCCTTTTCTAGTACGAAAGAGTTGCTGGAGCACAAGGACCCTCAGAGATGAGATTCCGCTATAACTTCCTTGATAGCTAGCTTTGCTTTTCTTACCATTGGAAGAATTTCCATACAAGTAAAATCCTTATTTCTACTCACAGGGAAGTTAAATGATGCGTGTAATATATCTGGAATCCTTGCTCACTAGAGGCTCAGTCTGGCAAAGTGAAGAAAGACACCACACACAGTTTTAGTCATGCCAGACCTAGAGCAGTATGACAAACTTGGGTTGAAATGTACCAGACTTAGATGGTACTAGGCTCTTCTCACCTGATACCAGCAGATTTCTTCAGCCAAGATTCTTTTATTTTATAGATTTTACTATTGAAAATGAGCATGAAAGCACTGTGTAGACCTTAAAATCCGCACAAGAGATCATTCAGTGCATTCTCATCCCATACAATGTAGGTTTGCAATGAATGAAGTGAAAGAGATTCTAAGTTCTGTCTCTTACACTTCATTATTAAGATTTATTAAATCTACTAGAAAGAAGCAACCACTCAAGTTTTAGTAACAATTAGGTGTTATTTTTCTCTTTAAAATACCTTCATTCAATTTTATGGTATTTTAGAAGGCAGACACTTCAGAAAAAGAATTCTGAAGAATTCCATTTCATTATCAAAAAGGTACTAGACGTTTAAATATATGAATACTATTTATCGTGCAATGTAGTTTTGGACTGCCTTTCAGTTTTGAAGGCCGATAACTCAGCATTTTATCAGAAAGGTTGGTGTTTTAATTTAGATAGTAAATTGTGGCATAGTTGATTTCTAAAAATGCATGTGCAGTTTTATTACTCAATTTGTTACTATAGCAAATCTTAGAGATTCACACCATCTATGTATCCTACTTCTAAGGTATATGCATATCAACACATGCTCATACACATGCTTCTTTCCACTGTAGAATCCGTACTATTTACATACATAAGAATTCAAATAATTTAATCAATGCAGCTTAATCACAAACCAGTTTTAAAAATATGTGACACTGTAAAACCTCATTCTCTTCTATTAAGATTCAGTCATTCTCAACAATGTACAGATGTCGTACTTTTTAAAAAGAAAATTTAAAAGTCACCTTTCAAAAGCTGATTCAGGTCCATGGCATCATGCAAGACTTTTCGACTATATCTGCGATCAAACTCGGAATCTAATGAAAAAAATACAGATATAAGATTGGATTTCCCAGTTCCATAGGTTTTACAAATTTTGTATTGTACTTAAATTCTTCAAAATTACCATATAATTCTTGATTCACATTTTCCTGTCTTTTTATTTTTAGTTTCTTATCGTTTGATGATGCAAGTTCAAAAGACTGGATAGGACTGATGTCTGGAGTTGACAGAGGTGTTACATCAGTCACTGTGTCTTCAGACTCTTCCAAGTAGTCACCAAGCTTTGGTTTTCCTTCTGCTGATTTCATTGCTGACTTGAATTTTTGTTTTGGAGACAGAAGAGCATTCCTACAGGCATTCCTCTTTGGGGAAGAATGAGATGAATCTGATAAACAGCTATCAGAATCCGTATCAGAACAATCTGTATCTGAGCTTGAGGATGAGGATGATGAGGATGAGGAAGAGGAGGAAGAAGAAGAGGAGGAGCTGATATTAGTATATTTTTTGCTAGCCTTTTTTATGTTGTTTGATTGCTTAGCTGACTTTGGTCTAACCTTCTGTTTTTTGCCATCGTCACTACTATCTTCTTCATCTGTATAATAATCTTCTTCACCTTCTTTAACTATTTTGGGGATCTCAGCACGACCATTCCCCTGTGTTCCTCTACCTGCTGCAGATGTCTCTCCAGATGTACCTGCATTGTCCACAACTGGAGAATGTGACAAAGATGAAGAATTTCCAAGATGATCTGTGCTATTTTCTAGGGACTGATCCTTCTGCAAATCTTTCTGCTTTTCTTCTCTTTCCTCCTCACAACACTTTGCACCCTTTGAATTAGAAACCAAATCTGGGTCTGCAAGAGCTGCCTTTATACCTCCTTCCTCTATACATTCACCATTTTCTTCAGCTTTCTTTTTCTCTTCCTCAAAATCACTGTCGAAGAAAGCATGATCCACTTCACCATCTGATACATCTTCAAACCGGTCCATACCGAAATACGAAGTGCCACCTGCAACCATCAGAAAAAGTTCCCAAAGGTTAGCGTAAAACCAGACAAAGTACACTTTTAGTATAATAGTCTTGTTCCTTACTCTTTTAGCTCTTGTAATTTATAATTCTGTCGTTAATTATGTTATGTTGCTAGGGTCAACTCTGTAGTGAGTTTTACAGAGCAATTTAGTTCTACCTTATTGTACACAGGTTACATGTTAGACCAAAAAGCTTTACTTAAGTGAACAAACACCATCATTTCAAAACTTTTACTCCTATGGAGGTTAGTCAAACATGGTTAGTAACTAAGGAGTCCTAACTATTACAAACAGGCAACTGCGATGTCTTATTTTGTCCCTTTAAGCCTGAGCCATTTTGAGCTAGAGCCACTAATGAGCTATCATTAGTTTGGATTTTATATTAAAAACCTTATTTGTATGTGGTGGTCATCATCTTGGCTGACACAGCCATTCAAACTACTGACTTTCAGCACTTAAAAGTAGGAGCAATTTCAGTTTACATCAGAAGATCCATAGCTCTATAGGTTAAATTGTAATAGATGTAGGGTATGTCAGCATTAATGCTTCAGTTTGGATCAGGAGCCTGCTTTTCTTGACAGCTCTCTGTAATTGACACTGCATAGTACAGTGGGCAAACTTGATTCTTTCAGAGGAAACTAACATTTAAAGTGTGCTCCAGGCATGAAACTAATGTACTTAAACCAGCAGTCACCATTCAGCCCATGGGACCAGATTATGGCTAGCCCAAATACATATAGTGTGGATATCAGGTCCTCAGCACGAAACATTATATTCTACAAATCTGTTCCTATTTATATATTTCTCTAAGAAGTATGACATGTGTTAGATCCTATGCATGTGGCAGAATGAATATGAAAGTTTCCATTCATTAGAAGGATATACAAAGAGTCAAAATAAAAATACCAAACACCCCACAGCCAAACAGAATTAGCCAGCATCAGTCTACTGTTCCCAGCAAGGCAGCAGTACGTTTTTCCTACTATTTACAACAGATTTTATATAAATTCCATAAGCTGCCATCAATAAATACGTAACATTCTTTAAAGCCAAGGAAACCAAAAACAAAGACAGTGGAAGCAAATATACAAGGCAGGAGAACCAGAATATTTTACAAGATGGATGGTCTCCCTTAAATCACATATAGTTTGTTGCCATGGCAAAGGTGAAAAAGGAATTCCTAAGCTTGTTTTGAAACTGCAAGATTATTCCCAAGAAAGCTTCTAGCTACAATTACTTCAAAATACAGAATTTGTAAAGGTCTTTGTCAGTTACCTTGCCACTTCTCAAATAATACTCAGTTTTAGATGAATTTGAAATATGCACCCCAAATACAAAAAGCACAACATAAGCATTAAAAGCAGAAGTTGTGGAATCTCCTGTGGTTTTAAGATTCACAAAGCCAAAGAACTGAAAAGATCTAATAAGGTTAGATGTTGTATAAAGCTGAAAATGCTATTAAACAATAGAAGCAGAGTAACACAAAGAAAAATTCTTTAAAGCACCTAGCTCCTCCAAGAGCAACAGAACAAAGGAGTAAAACACCTGGGAACTCTTAATTTAAAATGCTACATGGAATTTGGAAATTTTTCATATTCATATGACTTCTTGTGATCCCTGGCTTCATGCAGCTTGCATGGTCTGCAATGCCCAACTGTCATGTGAATTCCTAGAGCAGCTTCCTAAATGGATAATGCATTTTAGTATGTCAAAACGTGCACAAGGGAAAAAAATTCAGAAGAGCAACACATTGTTTACATTTAATTTTCTACCTCATGTAACCTAAACCAGAAAGGAACTAAGCAGAATTTTCTGGCATTACCTGTAGACTATAGATCATGAATTATTTATTTAGCAAGTACAACTTGGGCAAAGTCAATTCTGTGAAGAAAATTAATATAGTAGTAGTATTAAAATTAAAACAAAAACTTTCCTTCTCCATGATGCAAGGTTTTTATTACTCAAGGCACTTGCATCTCACCAGTTTGTAGCTCCAGCTAGATTACGACTGGTGAAAGTAGGCATGTGCTGTATTTAACTTGTCTCACACACATGGATTTGATATATTGTTGGCACATGTAAGAGTATAAGGGGATAAAGCAAAAAACAGGTTTGCAGGTGGGTGCAGACCAACTATTATAGCTTGAAACACAAAATTTTGTTGAGTGTAATACACACATCCATGTATTTTTTGTTTATGTAATGCTACTCCTGCAAAGGAGACTAACAGGATCTCATTGGCTAGAATGTAATACCTGGTCATGCCACTTCTCAGATGTCTCTTTTCTGAACACTAAGTGAGGATGGGACAGTGGCAAAAGGGCAATGCAGAGGTGGAGAAAGGTGCTAAAAGACAGCAAAGAGCTTATACATTCCTTTCCACTGTTAGCACCAGCCAAGGAGCACACATCTCCCCACTCTGCATGACTCGGGAATAGCTTACCTGCCAGTAGGCTGTTTTCCATGAAGACTGGGCCACAATCGATTCATGGACAGCAACCACTGCTACAGGAGAAATGCAGTTTAGCAGACTGACTCTGCCCAGGGAGCATCAGTTGTAACACCAGTCATTTCACTGCCAAATGCTCCTTCCACTTTCCTGGCACAACCCCCTAATGGCTGTAGCCATCACCCTAATGGCAAACAGACATGCTGTGTCGGTCAGTTTTTCTCACTGACACTCTTAATCATTCACAAACTAAGCATTAATTAATTTTGTAGTTTCCATTAAAAACAAACAAGAGGAAACAGATTAAGAGATGGTATTCTTGACTCCTATTCCCCTCGTGCATCTGGAATGTCTTTAAGGAAGCTGGAATTTGCCAAGAAGCAGCAATACAGAAGAAACAATTTTGCTGATAAACCATGCCTAAATTAATAAATTGGCTGCATGTGCGCACACACACAGACTCGAACCTCTTTATATACAGGGCTGAATGTAATTTTATTTCTGTGAGAAGTACAGAGTTTTGCTATGTTATCAATTGTTAAAATACAGAATCAACAAAGGATACTCTGAAATCCCAAGACAACTGTCATTAGAATCAAATCTGTACCATTAACTGCTAATTCCAATGACCATCATATTTATTTACCAAAAAAAAAATAAAATATATGCTTTCTGTGCCTTTCTGCCATGAAACACTCGAACACAAATATGATCAATCCAAATGAGCAGGTTGGCCATGAATTATTTGTCAGATCTTTTTTTTTTTTTTTTTACTGTAGTATTTCCTCTCCCCATGTAATTCTCTGCCTCTCCCCCCCTATTTCTTGTAACACCCACCCATCACTCCAGCCAAGCACACCCATTTGTCTTTGTTTCTTCCTCACTGAAGTTCCTCCCAGTTTAAACCAGCCACCCACTGCAAGAGCAAAGACCACTCAGCTACTGCACAGGCCAACCACTGCCTGCTGCTGCACTGCCCAAAGGACAAGTAACATTCTGATATCCTCCACTTACACTATTGAGTATTTTTCCCCTGTCAACTGCAAACCTGACAACTACAGTACCACCTGAAATATTTTTTTAGGTAATGTCTAACAGTAGGCCTTTAGGCATGGCTGCAATATAAAGTAACTTATACAAAGGTAGGATAGTACATAAGAAGTGATATAGTGACGATATGGATTTAGATATGGTTTTGTGTTTGAACATATACTGCCTTTTGATAACATTCTTTGAATGTTAGAAACTAACACTTATCAAGTACCTAGTGAAAGTTTCAAGGTATTTTAACCTTGGTTAAACCTTAATGTTATCCAATCAATCTTTCACTTTTTAAAATGCAGACCATCTGAAATACATGCATCGGAGCATTGAAATAAATCACAGAAAAAAAGAAAAAACTCAACATTAAAGTACAAGGAGTGATCATCTTTCTTTTCTTTAAAGCATTCTACTTTGATAATTGAGAATGGTTCATATAGAGAGGAAAGACTTTTTTTCTATCTAGTAACATACAGATTCCTAGCACACAGAACACCACACTCTGAATTTGTATGCTATACATCCTCTGAAGGCCCTAAGTGCTTTCAGGACGTCTTGAGATTCTGGTATTTAATCAAACTGGAAAACAAGCCCCTTAAGCATGCAGTAGGCTGAATCAAAAATTTCTGACGTTACTGCATGCATACTGTGCATCACCACAGAAGCCACACTACAGCACAGCTATAGTACACTCGAGATGAGTCAACAATGTTTCCTGCAACAAAAAGGAACAGACATCATCTTCAGATGTATTAACAAACATATATGTAAAATATCAGAAGCAATAATAAAGTTGTAATCAGCTCCAATAAGGCATGTTCTGGTTTGGGGTTATTAATTTTGCTTTGTAAGTATAATTGATTACTGAAAGGAGTAACCAGGAGGGCAATCTTCTTCCAGCCCGTGCAATTAGTGCTCCCACAGATGACAGCTCTTGTTTCAGCTGGAAATTTCTACCTCTTCAGAACAAGGACCCACCTTCCTGATCTCAGAAAGCAGAAACAAGTGTTTGAGAGCTAAGGTTAATGTGTTTTAATTAAAAGATTTATACTATCAATGGCAGATGTTCTTTAGGACACTCCAAAATCCTCTGACTCTATTCATTATTCTCTCTCTGTCAGGGATCCTGCCCCCTTAAACCTGCTGACTGCCCTATCACCTCTTTGTATGGTGAACCTGGGAGAGGGTAAAAATGCTAAACATATCACCTGACTCACATTTTCAAAAATAACAATCATTAAACAAGTTACCATGTAAAAACACACTAGTTCAAACCCCTGCCCCCCCTCTTCCTCCCTCCCTTCCTCATTTTTGGCTGAGGCATTAAAAAGACAAATCTGAAAATGTCTAGAAGAGAGTAATAATATTTTAAAGACAATTAGAAAAGTTCAACTTCAGAGGGTTTATTTAGTTTAAAAGAGGAGACACATGGGGAAACACAAGTCTTAAAACCTGTAAAACACAGTAACCCAAAACTTAGTTTGATCTCAG